AAAAAGAGGTTCCTATACTACTGAAATAGGGATAGATGTCTCCTCTTGCTCTCTGTGACAGCTGGGAAATCAGTTCCTTACCAAAGTGACGCAGTTGCCTGAGAGTCATCCAAACAGCTCATGTTTCCACCACTTCCTGAATTGTTTCCAAATCTACAAATTTCCAAGATTGCCATAGAGTGAAAATGATTTAAATACATAGTCCTGACTGCTGATAAAATTCATACTTTATGGCATTTTCTTTTCTCAAAGCTAAGGGCCTATAATTTGTGAGAAGCCAAAAGAAGTATAATAACATCTATAAAGGGAGCATTTTGTATCTTGAAATGTGATTTTTCTGTTTTCCTATCCCTTGTGAATTTGGTTTCTATTATTGAATTTCATGCTCTTCTTACATTTAATCATTTGTAGCATGGTAGGACTAAAGATAAAATTTTGCCTTCTTTTTGTGTGGCATAAAATAGCTTTAGGTACCACTCTGTCCTCAAAAATAGGAGAATAAAGGATTTAAAGCATTTGAACCACATAAAATTAAGGGGGAAGGAGAATCTCAATTATTGAATCTAATAAAATTCAGTTATATCTGCCCTCTCAAGTCCTTGTACGCCAACCCTTTGTCTTTATGTCTTCTCATTTATAGCATCTACAATTCATATATGTGTGTGTGTGTGTGTGTGTATATATATATATATATATATATACACACACATATTTTAAGTTAGTTTTTCTTGCCTTAGCAAAGGAAAAAAATGTACTTTCTTCCTATATCCATTTCCCAAATTTTGGATTACCATAAATTCTACTTCCTGTTTTTTTCCTCTGTTTGAAGACTAATGTTTATTCCTTCCTCTTTTCAGATAGAATGCTAACATAGCTTTTTAAGATAAGAAAGAAAAGTTTTCTCATTTTCCTTGTGTTTCACTCAGTATTGAAAGTTCTTTTTATTTGCACTGAAGCTCCATGTCATGTTCACTTCCTATTTTCAAGGTTTTAGATATACTTCATCTATCTGGGACTTGTGGTAGAAATCTTACAAGGGAAACTTAGCCCATTTGCATGCACATGTGAATTCTTTTTTTTTTTTTTAAAGATTTTATTTATTTATTTGAGAGAGAGAATGAGATAGAGAGCACATGAGAGGGGGGAGGGTCAGAGGGAGAAGCAGACTCCCTGCCTAGCAGGGAGCCCGATGTGGGACTCGATCCAGGGACTCCAGGATCATGACCTGAGCCGAAGGCAGTCGCTTAACCAACTGAGCCACCCAGGCGCCTGCACATGTGAATTCTGATAGCCAGTTAAAATTTGAAATTTGTAATGTCCCTCCTTGTCTATAATAAACTAATACTGGAATTCTGTAGCAGTGGAAAATTGTCAACATATTTTTTCTGCTAGGATTAAAATGGCTAGATGAAAAGGCCCAGAGTAGAGATTATGTTTACTTGTATAGACAGGGTTTTTCTGATTTGAACATATTAAGGTTATTCTTTGGAACTTTGAAGTGCCATTTTCAGATCATCTAATGTGTTGGGAGAAGGTCAGTTACTGAATAATTACAACAAAAATTTTTGTGACTGTTAAATGTGGTTAATTATCTTTTTTGCCCCCCTGCACAGAAGACTGGCAAAAACTAATTAGATAATGTCCACAAAATGCTATCAGGAAAAAAAAATATGCTATCAGGATGAAAAGACCCATACGGTAGCAGACCGTTATTAATAATAAAAGGAAATGGAACATTTGTCTTAAACGTATTGATAAGATAAAAACACTATACATCCGCAAAATAAGTATGCTTTCTAATGGACTGGAGAGTGGGGAAGAGGTGTGCTGGAGTTGAGGAAGGGGAGAGGTGGTGGGGAGGTGTGCTGGAGTTGAGGGGGAGGAGAGGTATGCTAGAGTTGAGAAGGGAGGAGGGAGTTGTGGCCTAGGAGGTGTGCTGGAGTTGAGGGAGGAGAGAGGTAGGCTGAAATTGAGGGGGAGGAGAAGTGTGCTGGAGTTGAGGGAGGAGATGGGGGTGGGGTGGGCTGGGAGGTGTGCTGGAATTGAGGGAGGGGAGAGGTGTGTTAGACTTGAGGGAGGAGAGGTGTGCTGGAGTTGAGGGGTGTGCTGGAGTTGAGGGGGAGAACGTTGGCTCTGAGACTGGTTTTAGTCTCAGGTTCATCACTGAGTGGCTGTGTGATTTCATACCAGATAATTCCTTTGGTTCAGTTTTTTTCATCTATAAAATGTGAAAAGTAATACTTTTTAAGTTTTGTTAAATGGTTTTAAGAATATATGTAAAATGCTTAACATACTGCTGTTTAATTCAGATCTATTAGTGTTAGTAGGAAAATAACAGTCTTAATAATAATGTGTTAATGGGCACAAAGGTTTTTTTTCTAGAAGTTCAGTTTCATTACTGTCTAGTTATTTGATGTTTTATACAGCTGTATCTCATGTAAGTATAGTTTTAAAATTACTTTCAGCAGCGCGATGCTTGAAAGTCACTGTGACCTTTTACAATAACATAAAATACTGCTCTCCTTAATTTTACCTTCTAAAACATGAAGACTTCCTTTTGTATAAAATAGAAGCAAAGTGTGTGTGTAAGAGAGAAGAGAGATTACAGATATTACAAATACAAAAATGTAATATTATATTACAAATATGTGCATCCACAAACGAAAGCCAGCTCTCAAACTGAGAGTAACTATGATCAGTTGTTGTTAATTCTTTTCTTTAATATTATTTGGCTACTTTCATCTATTCTGTAGTCTGCTAATGTTTATAGAAAATCAGTAAATGATGGCAACTTTTATGAAAAATTTGGATGCAAATGTTGAGAAACTGCCATCCATGAACTTTTTTCCTCCCACAAACTGAGGAAGCATCGAGAGTATTTTATTTTAGCGGCAGAACAACCCTCACAAGCCCGTCGGAGAACCAGTTCGGGGATGGCATGTAATAGCAACTGCATTAATTGGCTGCTTGTTAAAATAATACTAGGTATTATTTTCTTCTGTTATCAAAGTGTCATCTGTTAAAGTCTCCAAACCCTGCCATTTTGATTTTTATTAGGTTGTACTGGAAAAAAGCACTAGACTCTGCACGCGAAGGCCCAGGTTAGAGAACAGTCCTGTCATCTTGTCAGCTTTTCACAAAGAGCAAATCACGTTCACAGTTCTTGTTTAGCCTTCCTTTTCCTCTGACCTTGGTCCTGGGACTTCCAATCTTTAGAATGTTCCTCTGTATAATTGCACATTGTTTAGGTTTTACCTGCCCTTTTAATTTTATATTTTATTTGGAAGTCAAAGGAATACCCATTTTCTCTGAAACTGGGTTAGAGAAAGAATAATAACAGAAAGGAGTAATTTAACATTATGCATTATTTAGGGGTGTGACACATTCACAGTTGCTATGTGAATGTGAATTTTTGTTAGTTTCCCTTAGAATTTAACTTTCTTACTGTGTAATCTGGAGCTCTAGAAACTGAATCTATAAGCTCTGTGGAACCCCCCATCTCTTTGCACTAATTATTATTTAATCCCTTTTGAGACTGTCTTTCTCAGTGCTGGGAGCAACAGAGCAGCCTCAGGTCCACAGAGGATGCATTAGAATTGGCTTTTGAATCTGGAGAACGTCATGTATACGTACAACATCATGGTAACAGCAGAGTGCCCGGGGTTAAAAAACTTATTAATTCTCATATTAATAAATGTTGTAATAGTGAATCATGGTCATAAAAGGAAATTACTTGTGGGGTGCCTGGGTGGCTCAGTCGTTGGGCGCCTGCCTTCAGTTCAGGTCATGATCCCAGGGTCCTGGGATCGAGCCCTGCATCGGGCTCCCTGCTCGGCGGGAAGCCTGCTTCTCCCTCTCTCACTCCCCCTGCTTGTGTTCCCTCTCTCGCTGTGTCTGTCTGTCAAATAAATAAATAAAATCTTTAAAAAAAAAAAGGAAATTACTTGTTATTTACTCAGCTTTTACGTTGACCTAGCAGTTCATTAAAATTTTTTACAAATATAAATTGTTGGCTATGAACTTTGGATCAAGTCTAGCCTTTTTATTATTTCAGCACTTTGTTTTTGAAGAGAAAAAGAGGTTTTTTTAATTTAAAACAAAGTTTTTTGGGGGGTGCCTGGGTGGCTGAGTCGGTTAAGCATCTGCCTTCAGATCAGGTCACGATCTCGGGGTGTCAGGCTCCCTGCTCAGCGGGGAGTCTGCTTCTCCCTCTCTCTTCTCCTCCCTCCTGCTTGTGCATACACTCTCTCTGTCTTTCTCTCTCTCTCAAATAAATAAAATCGTTAAAAAAACCCCAAAATTCTTTTCACCTTTAGCCGGTTATTTTGTTTTGAATTTTAATATTGTACACACTAATTTTTTTCTTATTTTTAAAAATGTTAGTGTTGCATTTTCTGCCTATTTTATGATCATTGGAAAACTTAATGGGGCAATTAGAAAACAATTTAATAAAATAACATGCTTTGTGAGAATGATCTTCCATTGTTTTTTGTTTGAGAAAATGTTGTTCCTTTTCTAAGAACGGATTTCATATCCTTTATAAATTTTCCTTTTAGAGAAAAAGGGAAATAGTCACTAATGCATTTTTTCCCTATTTATTCTAATAGCTGACATTGATTATATACCAGTCATATGTCAGACATTGTGCCAAGCACTTATGTATTGTATTTTATATAATTCTTATACCAATTTTATGAACTGTGTGCTCCTGTTATCTTCATGTTTCAATGAGAAAATGAATTACAAAATATAAATAAGTTGCCAAAAATTGCACAGCTATTAAGTGATAGAACTGTGATCTGATTCCAGATCTGTTTGACACATACTTAATGATTACGATTATTTACGCCAAGCCCATCTTGGGCATTTAGTAAATATTTATTGAAAAATGAATGTCAGGTGTCAGTTGGTTTTAAAAAAAAAATGTCAAGAATGTGTAGTCTGATTTACATGTAATAAACAAAAGTTTATATGCTGCTAATTTCCCCCTTTTTTTGTAGGAGAAAAGACTGAAGGAAAGGGAAGCCAGAAGAGAAGCCAGTAAGAAACAAGCAAAGGTAAGGGTTGATTTTTTTTATGAGAAAAATGTTGTTAACATTGAATGGGATTTAAGTACTCTGCTTTTCCATATGCATTTTTTATATTTATTTATACATCATGACGTTCAAATTGGGTATAAGTCCATGTGTGCCCGTCATTTACTTTCTCCTGTTTGTTTCTTTCCTCTGTAATGCAGAATGAAAAATACCTAAGATAATTTGCTTATTGGCCATTATCCTACTACTCCCGCCACCTTTTCCCATTCTGTTTTGTGCCTTTTAAATATGGGAGACTGTTGGCTTTGTGGGCCAAGCTCAACAGGACTTTAAACTCTGCCGTCCTTCCACTAGGCAGACAGCTGTGTGGACCTACCTCGATAATAGAGAACTCTGAAGGCACTGGTTGCTTCCTTTCCTGGGATCTAGGGGGAAGCACTCCGTATCACGTGCCTTCACTATTTTCTGTAAAAATTTTCAGCAAGTGTATATGCACAGTATCACTCGTATATGTCCTGTTGTGAACACCATCCATGTGCAGCTCTAATTTTTATCTGGGGGGTTTGACACTGAGAAGGGCTCAGCTTCTGCATTCCGACTGCATTGAGTACAAATGACTCCCTAGAACCAGGACCCAGTAACGTATGTCATTTCTCATGCCATGTCTCCTCGTGCTGTGCCTGACTAGCCATGATTTCTTCTTGGCAGTTAGCAAAGATCCGACTCCCTTGAGTAAGCCCATAATATTCTTTGTCATTTTTTCCATGCTGGCCATAGCACTCAGAGAGCAAGTCAGAGATGATAACTCATTTTATAGTTCTGAAGTGGGAAGCAATTATTCTGCAGTGTAAGATGAAAAGACTGCTTATATTCAGTATTAAATATCACTCTGTCTTCAAAGGTGCCCAAAAACGAGAGCTGTAGTGTGTGCGGCCTGACTGCGAAATCGGGGGGCGGATTCTGTGTATGCTCTTAAAATGCAGATGCGCACTGTCACGGCGCTGAAATTGCATCTTAGGGGCTAGTGTGGGAAAAATTTAAATTTAAGAAGAAAACTTTAGATCTAACGAAAGCATTTGATATTTATGAATATTGCATGCTCAGCATAAAACTAAACTTATTTCACTAAGAAGCTCTCTCACTTTGCACATAAAATTCTAAAATGAAAGATGTAATCTGGAGCCAGAAGAAAACCTGCTTAGTGTATTTCCTTTGTGTGTATTCACGCATATTTGTGTATATTGCTTAAACGGTTTGTTTTATTCTTGTTGACACTGTAGCCTTCACCTGTGTGGTGGTTTAGGTCACAAATTGTTCTCACCCATGGGGCTGCCTCTTGTGCCTCTTCTTTCATCTTTCTGTCAATTGGCGTATGTGTGTATTTGGTTTTGATGCTATACCACCTGGGATATAAACAGAGAAACTGGCAATGGCTGTCAGTTCCGGTCCACTGGGGCAGATCTCTAAAGTGAACTCCCCAAGCCAGGCATACCCTTCACTCCCTAACCCCTGTTTGTCATCCACTTGTTCCTGACATCCGGGAATGAGGACGCCTCATTCCTGTCCAACCACTGTCCTGGAGATAAACAGAAGAGGCTCTACCGCTGCCGTGGCTTTGCTGCTAGGCCAGGAGCCCGCAGCAGACAGAGGCTGTGCTTTAGTGATGCTCACAACCTCGACTGCTGCTCCCAGGTGATCTGAGCAGCGGGATGAGTGGCCGGGTTGTAGCCAGGACCCAAACATTCCACGAGACACCAAGGACTGGCCGCAGTGACAGATTCAGGCTGACTGTTGGAGTCCCGAGGAATTAGCTTGGATCTACCTTTTGCGGCTCATTTCTTTTCAAATGAAAGTGGTTGGGGGGCGCCTGGGTAGCTCAGTTGTAAAGCGTCTGCCTTCAGTTCAGGTCGTGATCCCAGGGTCCTGGAATCAAGCCCTGCATCAGGTTCTCTGCTCGGCGGGAAGCCTTCTTCTCCCACTCCCGTTCCCCCTGCTTGTGTTCCCTCTCTCACTGTCTCTCTCTGTCAAATAAATGAATAAATAAAATCTTTAAAAAAAAAAAAAGTGGTTGGATGAAGGCTCCCTTTTCGGGCTTTTCAGGTGCCCCTTTGGAAACAGACCCAGAAGATATTATTGGGAGCGACTCTGTAAAAAGGGGTGATGGCCCTATGTTCTGTGATGTCTAAGAAGACATACATGGTGTGAATTATCAGGTGACCTTATTGTCTTTGTGCATGTGCTTTAAATGATGGATAATTTAGTTTTAAAGTAAGCTTTATCCTCTCTTTAATATATTTCCACATAATCACTGTGTGACTTGTGGCTGTGCCTTCTGAGGCCCTTTGGTCAGCTTCAGGCTAGAGCATCTTTCGATTACTGGACCTACAAGATAGTCAGAAGATGCCTTGGTGGTGAAAGGAAGTGGTGTTTGCAGACCTGCTGTCGCAGGACATGTAGTCATACCCATTTAGAGCTCTGTAGGGAATTGGTGCACAGCAGCTGACGGTGTGAGAGAGGGAGACTCCCAGGGCTCTCTCGACCATGTTTTGTGCTCCATTCAGCCAATATCATCTTCCATGAGGAGGAACATAGAAGACGCAGAGTATTGTTTTTAATTGGAAAAAATAGTGTTCGAAGGAAAGTTAATGGATTTGTCTTTATTTCCCCCAAAGGTGAAGGCTTAATGATAATGTGAGGTTTCAGTTTTATAAAGCATGGTTGGTGGTTATCTCTTCCGACATAGAAAGTCTTCCTAAGAAACATTGCTTTGAAGATGGAGTGCAGTGAAACAAAGTTGGAATGGACCTCTCAGGAATCTGAGGCTACTCTTTGTTAAAAGATAGATCTGAGATTCGCATAGGAAACCCTTGAGGTTTTCTGGGTGCCCGGGGCTTAGTGATCCGGAAGATAGAGGTCTTTGGAGTATCAAAACTTTGTTTAGCAGAGAAATACTTGAACTGCAAAATGGACTTTTTACTTTACCAGGATGTTGTGTGTTCTCATAACTTAGAAATTTTAAACTGAGATGTGGAAAAAACAGTTGTAGCAATGATCAGTAGATCACATTGCTCTTTAGGTTCAGGGAGGTGACATAATCCTGGAAATACAGCTTCACCTCATCCTTCAGCTCGATTTCCTCTTGTCACTTTGGTGGTCACAAGTGCTTGTACCAACCTCTAATGTCTGGAACGATTTTGCAGAAATGTATAAAGAAAGGAACAACAGTGCCAAACCTTGAGGAAACAGATCCCCAGGAATATCTCAGTGCTGTGCTGCTTTTGAACAGAAAGTAGAGTTTATTAAACAGAAGTATGAGGTTGGTAAAAGTGAACAGTGAGTGTGGAGGAATAAAGAGTGAGAAGCAGCTCAGAGGAACTTAAACACTGGGAAGTTACGTTTTGCCTGAATATATTACAGATGGTAAAGTTATTTTTTAGGCATGGGGGAAATTATATCAAAATAACTAAAGTGATGGCCTTTTCTGAGATTGAAGTTTTATAGTTGTAAACTTCAGCTTAATTTTCTCTGGTTTTTATTGCCTTGTTTAATAAGGCAATAAAGTGACCCTGGGACACTTTATTTATTTGCTTAACAAATAGTAGTAGACTTGGGAAACAGTTTTTTGGATACCTGAGGTGGTACAATTAGTTCTTTGAGGATATAGGATCCAAAGAAGTAGGAGTTGTGTAACTTTAGAACATGAGTAGGCCTGAGAGATGGTCTAGAGTGGTTTCCTCATCCACTGGTCTATCATATCTTTTTTTCTGGTCACTAATAGTTTTATACAGCTGTTTCATTCTGAGAGGACCTTCTCTCTCTCTTTTTTTTTTTTTTTGGCTTTGGAATATCCTTTTATTTATGAAATAATGATGATTTTAATTGTCATTACTCGACAAAGCAAAAACCCTCTGTCCATCCTTTGAAATCTTTTTTGAACTTTTCCTGGTCCATGACATTTAAGAGTGTGGCCTCCACTGATCTACTCCAGTAGTTTGGGTTGTAAACAGTACATTGAGTGCCTAGGCGTTCTGTAGAGGTATTTGGGGCAGGACCCTGGGCTCCCATTCTGACTTCAGTCAGAGCAGCTCCATTTTTTCCTTCATGTATACTAAGCTTCCAGGGGAGCTTTTGTTTGAAATAATGGCTCTTCTTAAATACATACATACTTAATATTAAATAAATTAAGTCTAGAAGCAAGTAAATGACTTACCCCTCATCACTGGCTTCCTCGGTGGCAGAAATGACATGTGTACTCGGGCTCTCTGCAACCTCATACCCTGGTACTGTTACTGCTCCATGCTCCTTCCTGGTAAGTTACTTTTTACCCTTTTAAAACAAACCTGACTTATGTACGTGGGCTGGCAGCTGCTTGTAGAAAATGACTAATAGCAAATCCATGAAGAGAGAGCTCTGAGCTGACACTAGGAAGTGGGCTCTCTCCGTGTTGCTGGGTGCCTCCTGACATGTCGTTTCCCCTCTGGCTTCTTATCACCATATGTAAAATGAAGGGAGTGTATGACAGAGTCACTTGTAATCATAATTACATTTTTGTGCTCCCATATAACCGTGATCTGAGCCGAGATACGTAACAAAAATGTGTGCATTGTACTCAGTGCATTTCCTAATATGGGTCCTCAGCCTTTCTCGACATTCGTGGAGAATTCCTTTGTTTTCTCTCACGTCTTACTGCAGTCTTATCTGCTGAAGGGTTATCTTTCCTTACAGAGCTACAAAGAGATGTTAATAAATCTTTAAAAAAAAAAAGAAAGAATAAATGTTGGTAATGGTCATTCCTAGGTCCTAAACCTTTGTATTTATTCCTTTTTGGCAGCATTTTATTGACTGACACCAAATTAAAATTTTTCATTTTGGGGGGAAATTTCTCCTCATTCCATGTGTTTCATATAACCCTTGCACCCCCCTCCCCATTTTTTCCCCTTTTTCTGGCATTTCATAGTTTTGACATTGTACTGGTCTCTTACTTTGTTTTTAATATGGTTAGGATTTCAAGGGCTCTAGAGAGTCAGTTTATTTTGAACCAAACAACTTTTGGTAAAATTAAAAACAGGATAATGGAAACATAGGTTTGTTTATAGTCCCAGTTCCCAGAGAAAGCAAAGGTCCTCCCTGAAAGTAAATTGCTCTCACATTTGAAGGGACTGAACCCTTCTAAGCTGCCCTTTGCTGCCCCTGATATAATCACTGATTTAATGGTGCCCTAAATGAGTCGTTCTCTTTCTCGGAGCAAACTGCTCAAATAATACCTTGCTTTAGTGCTATAGTAAGATCCACTACGCTATCTTTCTACTTTTTAAATAAACAACACAGAGTCTTTTAGATGACATGCTTTTTCCCCTTTAATATCTACCGAAGTGAGCAATGAAAACCCAAATAGGTTTAGCTTTTATTGTGATTCTAGTGTTGGTTTGGTTTGCGTGGCTATTAATGTAATGACTCCTTTCCTTTTCCTTCTCGTCCCCTCTCTTTCCCTCTCTTCCCCTCCCTGCCCTTTGCTTCCTTCCCCTTCTCTTTCTTTCTTGATAATAAAGAAGGGGAGTACTAAATTTGAACTTTGAACTATTGTGGATCACTTAAGAGATGCTTTTAGTCTCCCATGTCAGAGAATTGTCCTCCAGTCATGAAGATTTAAAGTTAACTATGGGAGAAAGAACAGTGCTGGTTATAATACCTTCCACATGGTGAATACATGCTGATCTTTTAAGACTCAGCCTATGATTCCTCCCTTTTATGAACACTTTTCTGACCACCTCAGATAAAATGGACCTCCGCTTTTATAACTCCCACTTCAGTCTCCTGTATGCAGCGTCTGATGGCTTATGGCACTTACTTGGATACGTGTCTGTCTTTTCCTGCTCAGCTCTAAGTCTTGTTCTTGGTGTCTTCCTCACAGTGCTTGTTTCATG